GGCGTGGTGACATCATCGCCCAACATGTGGCATGATTCACGAAAGAGAAATTTCAGCCTCGACACACGTTTTAGCACGAGTCTCCACCGGCACCGGCTCGCACAACTCCTCTAGTACCTTCCCGAGATGCCGTTCTACGCTGTTGCCAGGGGACACAGCCCAGGAGTTTACACTTCATGGTGAGAACTGTGATATGTGGAGATTTCGGGGTATTTATGCGGGTGAGAATGGTAGTGCAGGTTACGTTCGTTTTGAAGGCGGAAGTTGAAGTTCCGGCTCTTCCCTTGAGCATATGTTGACGTGGCACTGTAAGAGGGTGAATGTAGCGACATTGCCAGGGCTCTTTTGGCACTGAAGATGAGCAAAGGGCCGTCAGTGGAACGGCAATGTTGAAAATGGGAATGTATTTAAGATCAATCATTATGTCTTAGGTATAATGACAGGCACGGGCGCTATGTGAAAGTTGAAGTTGACAGCTCTAAGAGTCATTTGGGTCAGTTATATTAGTTTTTTAATGTTCTTTTTGACAATATTTTTAACATGTAACTGGGTGAAATTAGAGGCGGTTGCTGAGATAATAGCAATGTTAGTATATCCTCCCTTTTATTGCTCCTTATGAGATGCTTGGGTAAAAATTGGAAATGCAATCTCACTCCATATTTTGGGTAAATAGAATAATTTTCCATTAGTTTCCATCTTGTTTCAAACGAATCTAGCACACATTTCTTTCAGGAACGAAGCATTACTACGATATCGGTCTCAATAACTGGGGAGGGCATGATACATAACGGAATTTCGAGAAATATCAGTAGAATACTAGTATGCATAGAATATTAACACATTTCTGGGTTGTACATGGGGCTCCACCCCAAACTGTAGAGTATTTTTCTTGCGCGGGGAGTATTACATTTTTTCATGCTTGGAAAACATCATTTTGTCTACATTTGCACGGACGGATCTGCAGACGGATGATGAAGGAAGTTTGCCGAAAGGTGAAAAGAATTTAATGTACGGAAGATTTTTTAATAAAGAACTAAGTGTGCACGGAAAGTTACCTGAGAACTACATTTGTGTACAGAATTTGACTAAATAATGTTTGCGTGGGGAACACATTCCTCGCGCAGACCAAACTTTAGTCTAGGCTCCGCCCCCTTGAACCCCCTTTCAGGGGGGGTTTAAGGGAGAGTATGTTCCAGCAGAATAGAGCCCAGTCAAACCGGGTATGACATGTTTTCAGTAGATATAGGGGGCTTCGCTCCCTTATACCCCTTTTCTAGAGAAGCTGCCACCCCCAACCCCTACCTGGTCTACAAAATATTCACCTCATATGTTACAGCAGGATAGCCTAGATCCAGGAAAAGTTTAAACCACATCTTGCCTTAAGCATTAACTCCTAACTGGCCAGGCTGCAGGTCACTGGGATCGTCAGGATATTCCAGGTTGTTGTAGGTGGGAATTGCGATTGCTTACAGTATAGTTACACTGCTCTCTTCAGAAGTATCAAGAAGAGTTACCTAGTAACCATATGGACCCATGAATGGATAAGTTTGTATTGATAAGTAAGAAAAAAGTAATTAAGTTATCAGATACCAGTAGTTATATCAGAAGTGGATGAGTAACCCCATGAAAGTGGTCAGTTTCAGGGGTGTGGCCAGGTGGTTTTTACTTGATGTTAGGTAAGAGTTTATGAGTGGTGAAAAAAATGGTAAATTAATGCTATTATGAAGTTCGTGTATGTATGTATGTATGTTAGCTTGCATACATATGTGCTTCATGGTACCCCAGTCAAAAAAAGTTTGGACATGCCATTAGTGAGTTCATCTCAGGTCACATGGTATTCATACCCATGCAGTTTTTACCATTCAATCTGATATGCATTAGCAATCTTGGTAATGTATATGACAGGTTAAGGCTTAAACCAGTCACGGATATGAATTATCATTTAAGAAAAAACTCATGTCACGATATTCTTTTTATTGTCATTACACATATTTGCTTCAACATTTTTTCTATATTAATGTTATATACTCTTACTGTTAATGCAGTTCCTACTACTACAGCTATAACTACTTGCTTCCCGGTCTTGTATTAAAGTAAATCATTTTAGCAACTTTCCCCATTAGAACAATTTTATTATAACATTGTATTTAGTGTACGAGTATGCAGTAACTTGTAGCCTATTTCTTTATAGTCATAAGCTATTGACCTAATTGAATACATTGCACCACACTTCAGGACATTGTTGCCTTGATTACTCTCAAAACATGCATGAATCATCCCCCTTTTGACCTTCTCAGGTACATTCTTGGCAGGCACAGTCTATTCTGGTTGGATAGAGTATAAAAGAAAATGGGAAACGTGTAGTATACTTAATTTCTTATTTTCAGTATTCACTTTTATTAGTTATTGTCTGTCAGTTAGTTGTCCTTCTTTAATGTATGGATGATTGAGTGTTGTATCATCTGGAGACCTTATTTTTTAGTTTCTATATGAGTCATAAAAAAATAAATAGATGGAAAAAAAAAAATGTTACAGCTGAGCTAAGTCGAACTCTTTCCTTTCTTTCAATGTACTTATAACATTGACATATTCTTTTTCATTTAATTTGTGCCCTTCGATAATAAATTTTAGAAAACATTATTTGCAAAAGTTGACGTGTCAATATTCTGCAAACCCTTTCAGGAATAAAGCATACATAAAACACTGTTGGCAAATAATCTCATGATATAAATTTAAGAAATCATAACAAATTGAAATTAAAGTAAGGTCACATTATAAATTCAGGTATTTGGATTACATTTTTTTTTTTTTTTTTTTTTTTAAGGAATGTGTATGAGTATCATGTATTTTTTACAATCTATTTCTTGATATTGAGAATGAATGTATGATTAGTACCAGGCAAGATCTTCCAAGAAATTAAAACTGAATTACATTTCAGGCCTGATGCCCAAGCCCAGATTAATGGCTATACGGCAGCTCGGTACAAGAAGTTTGATACCAAAGATGAAGCTGAAGAATTTGTCAAGGAAAATGCTCTCAAAGCCAGTGGTAGACCGCCGCGCGAGAAGGCATCAGGGGATTCCCAAGTTGGTAAGACCGTGTTATAAGGGTTTTGTGTTTCTCAACCAAACTGCCTCTTGGCAGTTAAAATCCCAAAAGGCCTAAGTCTCAGTAGCTTGTAAACATAGCAGTGCATGAGCAACTGGCATGCTTGTTCTTATGCCATTTATACATTGGTTTGTGGCTATGATGCAAACATATATAAGAGGCCTTAATGTTATTTTTGGGCTAAAATAAAGATGAAAAATATCCAGCCACCATAGTACAGAGTCTGCCTGGTAGAAGGGTTACATTGTACTCTCTCCAAATGCAAGTGACTGATTAGAAAAATCAGTTATTATTTCTGTAATGGCTATGTTTTTTTGTATTGAAACCAAAATGTCTAAATGCATTTTGTTTTGTTTTGTTTTTAAGCATTCCAACACTTCCTTTATTTTGAAGAAGAAACTCTCAAAAAAATTCTTTCCACAGAAGGGAAAAGAAAACGAGATGATGATGAGGAAGAAGAAGAAGAAGGCCAAGGAGAGAAGAAACTGCATGTGGATGAAGGAGAAAAGAAAACCGAGGATGGCTTATCTTTAGATGATGAAGGTTACCTTGTTGTTTATTCTGTTGGGGTGTGCGAGTTCCATGGAAAAAGCGGACAGAAATCTGGCTGTGGTGTCTTCTTTGCAGAGGATCACGAAAGGTAAAGATTATTGTTTTCTAATGGATCAATAGGCATGTCCTTTGCAGTCTGATTTAAATACTCAGTATTTCTTATTGTTTGTATATATGTGTGTGTGTGCGCGCGTGCGTGCATGCGTGCGTGCGTGCATGAATACATGTATGCATAAGAGATAATAGAACATTTATATAAATTATTATGCTGATTTTGATAAGGTCCTGACAATCATGTAACATTCTAGCAGGGATAATGGTAATAAGACTAGATTTATGAGGGCCTATGGTCAAATTAATAAGCTAAAACAAATCATGCTTCAGGAATGTGTCTGTGCCTTTGAAGGGGAAAGCCTCCAACAACGCAGCAGACATTCAGGCAGCCACTCATGCACTTATTACTGCTAAAGCTGCTGGTAAGTATCATTTACAGGTTAGATCATGTGCAAGAATTTAAATTTTACATCCCTGACTTTCTTGCTGGTGATGATTTACAGTATGATTTACATAACTTTAATATGAAATGATTACATTGAACTGACATTCATCTAAATATCTTTGAAAGATATTTTTTTCTTTTCCTTTTTTTTCATTCTATTTTATCAGTTGAAATTTATCAGATCTTATGCAACCTGCCCAAGTTTCTTCCATAAATTGTATACACTTTCCTTTTGTGATTGTTAGTTGTTTGGTCTTATACCCTCCCTTTTCACCAACAATTTCACACGTACCAAGGTATCTCACTGATGCTGAACAACCACCCCACACTAGGTTTAACAGGATAACTGTGATTTATCGTATGGTAGGTAGCTTGTAGTTGAAATGGAATTATTAAGCAGATGATTTAAGCAGAACTTTGCTGTCCCCAACCCACCCACCCATCACATAGCACATGGCAATATAAAGCAAAGGTTTTGTGTTTTGCTATAGATATTGAAGTATTATAAAACATGTGGTGAAAATAGTAAAACATGTCACAATTTCGTGTTAGGAACAACATTGCATTCAATCACAGACGGAAAATTTGTCTGTGATCACAAGTAGACAAAAAGTCAGTGACATTTTCAGTCTGTTTGTGATGTGTATATATACTCTGGTCTCCTGCATATGTATTACTGTACTATGGATGCACTTTAATGTGACACCAAGAGCATTCTGGTGTCACAGTTCTCAATGTAGAAGTTCTTCCCACCCAAATATTGTATAAAAGAGAATAAAACACTTATACTTATGGCCAAAGTAATTAAAGGTAGAATAAATATGTATATATATGTTTGTTTGGCTTCCAGTGGCACAAGAGATGTGAAGACATTAGCCGATAAATAGATATAATGTAGATACAGATGTAGTAAAATTCTGGAAACATGTGACAAACCCTTCATGCATTCATTACTGATTCGTGTAATTACATGGTTAATTACATAGATTCAACTTCACATTCTCCCAAAATAAAATATTGCATTTGAATTCCAAAAGGTTATGACAAGGTGGCAGTCCACACTGACTCACAGTTCATGATCAACTGCATGACCTCATGGCTGAAGAACTGGAAGAAGAAGGACTGGAAGAAGAGTGATGGAGAGTCCGTGAAGAACAAGGAAGAACTGATTGAACTGGATAAGGCTACAGAAGGACTCGCTGTGAAATGGGTGAGTGAAAATAGAAGCTAGATTTGATAATGTAATATAGTTTTGCAGCTTACATTAGTGAGTAAAGTTTAAGAAGATTTTGAAATCTACTTTTGATGTTAGGTATATTTGAAATGCATAGAAAAAAAATATAGATATGTCAGAAGGAATTCCTCAGTAAAGTGCATTATCATTACATTTTTTGCAGATCCACGTGAAGGCAAAATCAGGAATTGTCGGTAATGATGAGGCTAGGAAGCTGGCCAAGGTTGGCGCTAAGCAGTACGAAGCTGATGCCTAATACAATTATTCCATGATAAAGGGTTCAAAATTTTGTGATGCTTTACAGTTCATCACTTACTGCAGTTTTTTATCTTATTAACATCATATATCTCTGTTATCTCACTATCAATCGTGCAGTGGAAGAAAGAGGTTTATAAAGATGGTGTTTTGAAGTCTCTCTTGCTCAGAAGAAAGCTAAATCATGCCAAAAAGAAATATATAATAATGATAAAATGTCAGATTTTCCACTGCATTTTTTGCTTCATTCATAAGTATCTCATTATGCCTTCATGTCTGAATATCTGTATGCAATTCCTCACCCTTGAATTTATCCAGACGCCGATCTCCGAAAAATGAAGGTGTCACGAAATGATGGAATGAATTATTCCAGTCATCACCTTGTCAGATGTAGCTTGATTTCTGCCTGCCGAGATCTGGATAAGTGAAGGGGTGCGTGAAAGCAACTTAGGTTGTGAACACTGCCAGCGATGTTATTGGTGCTACTCAGTCTTTGTCTTGGCATTTATTTAGCCTCCAGAAAATAAGCTTTAAATGCAAGGTGGAAGGACATATAATATTAAGAACAGATGGTCTATTCTTCCAGAAATAGTTCTAGTTTTATATATTATTGGTATATATTGTCAGCAAGAAAATGCCAAATGAATTAGAGGAGGGAAAAGAATCCATGGTCTGGTAAAGTAGATGACCTATAAACAATGAGGAATTATGAATAAAGTAGTCCCAATTTTTTTCTTCTTCTTCTTCTGTTTCTTCATCTTTATTGTCCTTCTTTTGCATCTTATCTCCTTCTTTATCATCATTCTCTTTCTTGCTTTTCTTCTTTTTTCTCCATGTTTTCCTTCTTACTGCATTACCTCTTCGTACTACATCATTATCTTCAGTCTCATCTTCCATATTTCACCTTGCATATTTTATATAGTATCCGAGAAATGGCAGAAAATTAATGTTGTTTGGTGGCAGTTTTTTCAATTCTTTGATGTTTGATTATACTTTTATTTATTTATTTATTTTTGTTTTGTAAAAGAAAGATATACATTTCTTAAATTTAATTACCATATTGTGCAATGTATTACTGGTATATACTTGAAATGTTGTTAAATTACCTTTCAAAATGTAGCTTTGAAGTTGTGAATACTTAATATTGTTTTATTTTAAACATTTAGTTTATTATCAGAGAGTATAATTATTTTCCTATTAAAGAGAATTGTCTGTAAATCTTGGTAGATTACCAAGCTATTATGGAGCACAGTGAACTTTGTAACAAATAATTTATTTTAGGGAATTATTCATATCTTCATTGAAATTTCTACTAAACATTCTTTCATTAGTAATTTGTATGACAAAGCAATAAATGTTATTCCAAGACTGTATTAAGAATACTCTATTCTTGATTAGTTCATGAGATCATTTGCTCTGTATGTGTGTGTTTATGCCATGTTTATGTTACTGTGTTTGTATTAGTCATGTTTGTTAGGAAAGTTTTTCACATAATATGAACATTATGTTGTCTGTGCATTCTTTTTGACAGCTGAGGAGTGACTGATAAACGAAGGCTATTTTCCAAAGGTTGATCTTATTTTTCATGTTTTATTTAATTTATGTAATCTGTTGGCAATAAAAAGGGAAATTGCAGAAGGCTGTATTAACCTGATAGATATATGGAGATGTGTATAAGTATTTTCATGTAAGGAGCCATTCTTCTATTAATGTTTGCAGGTGTTGGTGATGGTTTTGTGTGTGTTGATGCATGCAAATGATAAATAACATACTGTATGTACTTACCAAATATGCATTTTTGTGCCCAGTACTGTTGAACTGTCATACTTCATTTATGTAAGTTTAGCTAACA